GACCCGGTCCAGCCCACGCGTGGGCGCCCAGAGGCAGACTTACAGATCTTGGCCACGCTGGCCAGCAGGAGCCAGATGGCGATGATGTAGGGGGTCTGGACGTAGCTCCACTCCCACTGGACCACCCGGTACCCGCCGCCGCCGTGGTGCTGATGCTCCTCCGCCGCCTCCTCCTCTCCGGGGGCCGCCGGCTCCTCCGCCGCGGACCGGGCCAGGGCGACGCCGGGAGCCCCGGGCTCCGCTCCGGGCTCCGCTCCGGGCTTCTGCCGGGGGAGGAGCGGTGGGGCGGAGGGAGAGGCGGGCACCGGCGGGGGGAAGCCGAGCCCCGGCAGGTCGGAGGCGGCTCCCCGGGCCCCCGGCGGGTCGGTCCCGGCTGCCTGGAGCCCCACTCCCCGGGCCCCCGGCGGGTCGAAACGGGTCCCCGGCGGGTCGGTCCCGGCTCCCTGGAGCCCCACTCCCCGGGCCCCCGGAGGGTCGGTCCCGGCTCCCCGGGCCCCCGGCAGGTGGGGCGGCAGCAGCAGCAGCAGCAGACCGAGCGGCAGCATCGTGACCGGAGCTCAGAGCGCCGACATCCCGCAGCCTTTATATATAGCCTACACGCACCGACACCGGGAGAGGCGAGACGCTGCGCGGCGGCCGACACCGTCAACACGCGCGCACGGCCTCGCGCACGCGCGGGACTTACTCACCCGCTCGCGCAGGCTCCGCTAAGACGAGGAGGAGGCGCGTGACCCGCCCAGGTCGCCGTTAAAGAGACGGAGCCGGCGCAGGTGGCGCGCACCCGGGGCGGGCGCGCGACCCAACTGAAAACCCGCACGGTCCGCTACGGTTCCGTTATTTCGGGTTTAAAACGCAAAATGACGAATCACGTGAATAAAACTACACTAAATAGCCTCAGTTTGAATTTTTCCCACAACATGAAAAACGAATGAAGGAGGCGTATAGAATCCATAATCTTTATTCACAACTTTACAGACAGAAAACAGAAAAACTTTTCATTTCCTCAGAACTCTGTTGACATCAGAACCTCTTTCTGCCTCCCTGAAGCTGGACTGGATGTCTCAGGACCCCCGAAACCTTCAGAAACCCTCAGGATCAGACACACATCAGCTCTGGACCCTGATCAGACCACCTGGAACCCACTGGACCCTGATCCCACAGGTCTGGCTCTGGTCCATCAGGTCTGGGTCTGATCCACCAGGTCTGGGTCTGATCCACCAGGTCTGGGTCTGATCCATCAGGTCTGGGTCTCATCCACCAGGTTTGGGTCTCATCCACCAGGTTTGGGTCTGATCCACCAGGTCTGGGTCTGATCCATCAGGTCTGGGTCTCATCCACCAGGTTTGGGTCTGATCCACCGGGTCTGATCCACCAGGTTTAGGTCTGGTCCATCAGGTCTGGCTCTGGTCCAGCTCAGACTTTGTCTCCGGTCTTGTTGAGTCCGAGGGCCTGGACCACTTCCAGGCTGAGGCCGCTCTTCAGGGTCCTCCTCACTGGAAGAGAGAGCCCAGGTTAACCAGAGCCCCCCTGACCCCCCCTGCCAACCCCCCCCCTCCCACACAGGAGTCAGTCTAAAGGTTCAGCGTTTAAACTAAAAACAGCAACAAGGCCTGAGATCTGAATCTGGAATTAAGCTGAGCTGCAGCAGCTGAGTGGAGCTGACACCCCCTTCCCCACCACACACACACACACACACGCACGACACCTGCCCCCCCCCCCACCAGGTGAAAAATCACAGCCAATAGATTGAATGGTTGGAGCTCGTTTGGATCTCTGCTTTCCGTCTGTTTTGATATATATATATATACACATATATATATATATACACACACATATATACATATATATACACACACACACAGTGAGTCCAAGAAGTATTTGATCCCTTGCTGATTTTCTTCGTTTGCCCACTAATAAAGATGTGATCATTCTGCACGTTTAATGGTAGATGTATTCTAACATGGAGAGACAGAATATCACAAAGGAAATCCTGAAAAAAAATCTAAGGTATATATATTAATTTGCCCACTTACAAAGAATGCCTATTTTTCTTCATCAGATGGTGATCAATTTTTATAAAATCATATGATGTGATTTTCTGGAATTTTCTTTGGGATTCTGTCTTTCACTGTTAGAATGTACATATGATTAAAGTTATAGATCGTTGCATTCTTTGTAAGTGGGCAAACCTGCAAAATCAGCAAGGGGTCAAATACTTATTTCCCCCACTGTATATATATATATATATATATTTATTCTCCCTGCTGCTCAGGGAAAATGTCTGACTGATTTGGTGTGAACCTTCTCCGGTTGGCCCCCGTGGAGCCCCTGAGCAGGGATTGGTCCGTGTTGACACATCTCTGTGATTCTGGGAGCGGTGTATAGGCAGAGATATGTTCAGCACATGTCAAGAGGGAGGGAGTGTGTCTGGATATACGTCTGTGTGTGTAGGTGTGTGTCAGTGTGTGTGGGTGTGTGTGGCTGGGTTTTGGTTGATTGCCTAATAAATATCACCTGTGTCTGCCTATCGGTCTTGTTTGAGACAGAGAGGGTAGATATTTGGGTGCTGATATTTTCTGTTGAAATTTTTTTTTTCTGTCCCATACATAAATCGCCTCGTAATTATCTTGGAAGTTCATTCACAAGTTTCCTCCTCGGACTCGGCGTGTCAGACAGAGCCCTACGTCCTTCCCTCAGTGACTAATGTGGTTTTCCAGACTTTACTATGGATCTACAGAATCTAAGCCGACAAAAACCCAGAAACCTGCGAGTGTCCAGCTCCAGCTGCCATGTGGTGATGTCACCGTGTAGTAGTGATGTCACCGTGCACTGGTGATGTCACCGTGCAGTGGTGATGTCACCGTGCACTGGTGATGTCACCACATAGGGTCTGTGGTGATGTCACCGTGTAGTAGTGATGTCACCGTGCACTGGTGATGTCACCACGTAGGGTTAGTGGTGATGTCACCGTGCACTGGTGATGTCACCACAGAGGGTCAGTGGTGATGTCACCGTGTAGTGGTGATGTCACCGTGTAGTGGTGATGTCACTGTGCAGTGATGATGTCACCACATAGGGTCTGTGGTGATGTCACCGTGCACTGGTGATGTCACCGTGCAGTGGTGATGTCACCACATAGGGTCTGTGGTGATGTCACAGCATGGCAGCATTTCAGAATAAGAGCAGCACACACGACCTCTGACCTCTGACCCTTCTTCCTGTCTGACTGGACCTAAAGCAGCTGAATCTCAGAAGTCGGATAGGCCACATGGCTACGATCCAGTTCCGGTTCGGGTCAAGGTCTGGGTCTGGGTCCCGGTCCGGCTCAGGGTCTAGCTCCGGTCCCTGTCCAGTTCCAGTCCGGCTCAGGTCCCGGTCCGGTCCGGGTCCGGCTCAGGGCCAGCGCTGGCTCTGGGGGATCTGGGAGGACTGGGGTTTGTCCCGTGTGTCCCAGTGTGTCGTCCAAACAGACGATTATCGGATTACTGAGAAGCAGACACTGATAAGAGGCCTGTTTAGGACACAGAGCCACGAGGTCTGAGCACGCTCAGAAGGAGGCCGCCGCCCTCTGAGATCTGAACCGCCATGACCTCTAAGCCGCCGCCATGACCCGGTTAGGCCCAGTATAGGCCCGGTCCAGGCCCAGTATAGGCTCAGTCCTGGTCCAGTTTAGGCCCAGTCCTGGTCCGGTCCAGGTCTGGTTTAGGTCCGGTCCTGGTCCGGTACTTACATGACTTCCTGTTGAGCCGGGACCGCTTGCGGGTCTTGGGGCTGGACGACCGGTCTGTCGGGTTCCGGGTGACGGACTTCACCAGCCGGTCCATGATGTCATCGGTGGCGTCGTCCTGGGAGACGGCCCCGTCGTCAGGGGCAACCGACAGCGGAGACGGACTCACCCGGCCAAGACCTGAGGACCAGAACCAGGAGATCAGCCAGGACTATGTCCAGGACCAGGTCTAGAACATCAGTCAGGGACCAGGTCTTCAGCCTGGGACCAAGTCCAGAACCAGGACAAGAATCCTGAGGCTGACCCAGGCCCAGCACCAGGTCTGGACCCCGGTACTGGCCCGGTGGACCGGGTCTTACTGCGGATGGCTCTGGAGCGCCGCAGGCCGCGCGGCTCCTCGGCGGTCAGCAGGTTCCTCATGTTCTGGTGCTCCTCCTCCTGGTCTGAAACCGTCTCCGTCGCCATGGAGACGGGGGAGGGGCTGTCCGGGCGGGGCACCGCCCCCGAGAACCTCTCCGTCTGAGGGGGGCAGGACCGGGGTGAGACCAGAACCCAGAAGAACCCAGCAGGGACCAGATCCCAGCAGAACCCGGCAGGGACCAGCAGGGACCAGGACCCGGCAGGGACCAGGACGGGGCCGTTACCTCGGTGATCATCTTGCCCCGGGTCTGGGTGCGCTGGCGGTGCGCGTCCCGCTTGCGGCGCAGCATCAGCACGCGCTCGCGGGTGGTGCGGTACTCCAGCGAGAACTCGCTGACCAGGCGGCAGAAGCCGGTGACCCGGGTGTCCCTGACGGAGGAGGGGGGCTGGCCCAGGAACAGCAGGAAGGAGTGGAACCTGGGGAGGGGGGTGTTAGCACATAGGTAAGTACGCCGGTTAGTGTGCTGGTTAACGCGCGGGTTAGCACACCGGTTAGCACATCGGCTAGTACGCTAGTTAGCATGCTGGTTAACGTGCCAGTTAAAACGCAGGTTATCACGCCGGTAAGCGTGCCAATTAGCATGCAAGTTAGCACGCCGGTTGGCAGGCCGATAAGCAGGCTGGATAGCAGGCCGGTTAGCACATCGGCTAGTATGCCAGTTAGCATACCGGTTAACGCGCCAGTTAGCACGCTGGTTAACGTGCAAGTTAAAACGCAGGTAATCACGCCGGTTAGCGTGCCAGTTAGTGTGCTGGTTAGCTGCAGTTAGCAGTTAACCGGCTAACAGTTAGATTAGCAGGTTAGCCGGTCAGGTTGGCAGGTTAACCTGGGGGGGGGCGCCGATTACTGCGGCCTCACCTGTTGATGACCCGGCGGTGCACCACCTTCAGGATGAGGATGCGCTGCGTGCAGTCCTGCAGGAAGTCGCCCATCCGGGCCTTCAGCGCCGCCTGGGCCTCGTGCCGGCTCACCTCCTTCAGCTGCTCCCATGATGCTTTGCAGCGGCGCTCCAGCTGCTGCAGGTTCTCCGCCAGCAGCTCGAAGTCCACCTGGAGGCGCAGCGCAACGTCAGGGCTGACGCTCGTGCACGGCGGGGGTGAGTCTCGTGCACGCTTACTTTGGCGGAGCGCGTGATGGCGGGGATCTCGGAGTAGAGGTCCGAGGATTCTGGGTAGTTTTCGGCCACCAGGCTGCAGACGTGATGCAGCAGAGTCTGACGGTGGACCGTGTCCTTCACCTCCACCAGCTTCTCCAGGTAGCCCAGCTCAAAGCCTTTGGCCTGTACACACACACACACACACACACACACACACACAC